ATTCAGTGACCACAACCCATGCTGGGGCATGGTGCTGATACTGCATTGTAGGGAAGAATAGTTCATGTTGCACTGACAGATTTATTTTCCTTGCATTGCACTAGACTGTGCTGGTAGATATTAGCCTCTTGTGGCACACATAAACATTTCTATAGATTTATATTTTCCAGATGGAAAGCTATGAAAACAGGATCTCTGATGAAACATCATGTGTTTGGAAGTGAAAATGTTAGAATTGAGACATGGATTTTGAAAGTCCTGTAGTCTTCTGATGCTGATTGCAAATTTATATTTGCAAATTCTTTTCACTTGACTGGCGTTTGAAAGCAGACATTTGTTGAGCTGTGTATAGCAAATATAAAAAGCTGGATACTGAATACTGCCTTGTTTGGCTTTTCTCTTTTGATGCTGGCTACTTAATTGAAGGCAAAACTTTCTTTTGTTGGGGGAATCAATTAAATAATTTTAGGAATTTTTTGGTGGAAATCATTCTGTGTACTGGTACACTGTTCAAATATCTCTGTATTATATGAATGATGTAAAGAAATATGTGAATGCCTATAAAGAAATATGTTATTAATAATTATGTGAAAACCTGCCATTTGCTTCTCTGCAGAAACTGCAAAACTTACGTTAACTCGTAACATCAGATTGCCTTACTAAGAGAGCTCAAGTGCTGTTCACACTGAAACTCTGGAGGAGTCTGAAAGTAAACAGCCATATTCAGAATGTGGCAGTGACCTTGAACTTCCACTGAGCTGCACTTTCTTTATTTAGCCTAGCCCAATGGTTAACTTTGTTAATGACTGTATATCGAAATCACCATTGTTAATATATCTAGCAGTGAATGATATGTATGGGTAATATGGTATATTTAAAGGAAACCTTTTGTATAAATTGTTTCCTTTTCAATGTTACGTTTTTGTACCAGTCCTAATTGCTTCTCATTTACCTCATTTGCCTTAGGCTCCTTAACTTCAGGTTAACCCTACATTAGGCATAATATATTTCTTCTTATGTGTCGTTCTTTTCTCTTGCTCCTTACTTAAACGAGGATGACGAATTCTATTATTCTGCGCCCTTGCAGCAATTAGTCTTCTATGGCAGATCCCCATGAAGCAGAGGAAGTTACACCCTGAAATAGTCATGTACAGGGACATGAAGTCATCTGTGCAGCTTTGCCTCTGAAGGGAGTTTTGTCAAGACATAGCACTGTAATTTCTAGCCTCAGCACTGCAGGGAACCCAGCAGAGATCTACCCACAGCACACATGAAAACAAGCATCTCCAAATTCCTGTGATCTGTGCTAGGTCAGCCCTGGCCAATTTGTTGCAGTGTTACCAGGCTCCTGACAGAGTAAGAGTCATGCTGTTTTTTTCAGGCAGAAAAGAGATGCAGCCCTTAGCTGAATTGAGCCTGGTGGAAGTAGTCCAAACCGGGGAGAACTTATGTTCCTTGGCTTAAGTACAGGATACTGTTACGTGCTGTGAGGCAATCCCACAGACCCTCTGTAGACAAATGCTGCTTAAGCATTTCATCACACCTTAAATGGAGGAAGAACCCTCAAGGTTTGTACATTTCAACTGAATTGAAAAAAAAAACAGATTCTGCCTTTAATTGCAGTGATGTACACAGCAACTGAGAGCAGAAATTTCTCTCCTTAAGTTGCATACAATTCAGGTACCATCTGTTAGGAAATGATGAAAGACTAGAGTTTTCTGAGTCAGCTATAGGATTATACATGTGAATGTCTTAAAATACATATAGTAAGATGGATATGGATATGTATATGAGTGTTTGCCTTTCTTCTGTAAAAGAAGGTTGTAACAGTTTAACACTTCTGCACTGTCTTTAAATCTCTCGTATACAGCAGAGATTGTCAAGGGGGTTGTGGACGGGGTAATTTTTGCAAAGGAGAAGACTGTAAAGGTACTCAGAAGCTCTACCTTGATTTTTCCTTCTTCTGTTCTCTAAACACAAGAAATCATTAATACTGAAAATAGTAGAGAGAAACATAACATCTGATGCTTAAATTTATGTGGTTTGATTCTGTTATAATTAAAGTATAAACTGGTTCATTCCAAACAGAATCTTTTCCCAAGTCATTTTCAGTTGTGTGACAGAGACAGCAGAAAACTTTATCTGTGTAACACACATCTACTCTTCTCTATTTTTTTCCTCTTCTCTGCCTCTGCACATGTTCTACTGTCTCTGAAAGATCTGTGATTTCAGCTGGTTTTGGTGATGTTTCACAGGAGCAAATGGGGACACAATTAGGCTCACTGTCTGCTTTTCAGATCAAAAAGTTGAGCAGATGCTGATTCTCCTGTGTAATTTTGAAATTCTTTTAGTTTTCTATTAAAATAGAAGGACTTAAAAGCTATAACTCTGAACAGGATAATTATATAAAAGCTGATTAAAAGTTAAAACCAGATTTTGTGGTCTACTTTTTTCCTTCAGTTTTTAATTAGGAAAATAAGACCAATATTTTAAATAAGCTTTCCTGCACACCTTTAAAATATTTACCCCAGCCTTCTCTTTGAAGCAAAAAAAGACTTGTTAATTTCCCCAAAGCTGAATTAGCTGCCTCAGAATGTGCCGTTGCAGTGATTGCAAATCCAGTAATAATGAAGCCGTTATTTTGCAGTCCTTTCACCAAATTAATTAAAAGGGTTGTATTTTCAATTCCAACCATGTTGCTTCGTATTAATGGCTATGCCACTTAAAGACCTAAGGACTTTAAATAAATATGCTACTAGTTAAGAAATTATTTTGTGTATAAATGCATATTATGTGCATTTAAATAATTGTGATTATTTTTCTCTCTCTTGTCTTTTTCCCTTCTAGACATTGAAGGTTTCATGCCTTCTCTTTCCATGACGGGTGAAGGTATTTCAGCATAGTCTTTGCAGACAGACCTGTGGTACTTCTGCTGAGCGGCAGTGTGGAGATGTGTCAGTTGCTGTTCAAAACCTGCGTTATTTCTTAGTGTGGCTCTGTGTTGCCAGCAGGACTTTGGCTTAGTTGTAAGCCTAGCACTGTGGCAGTGACACTTCAGGAGGAAACGTGCTTCCATCAGAGCTTGTGTACATCTGGTGGCTGGGCAAGCTAAGACCAAATCTGCATAAAAGCCTAGGCAGAGGTATTGAGTTTCCCGCAGGTGAATTCAGCACAGGACTGACAGACCAGAGCATGAAGAAGAATGATCTGCACCTATTCTGCTTGTCTGTGCTCAAAATCAGAGTCTAGGTGAAGACTTTATTTAAGCCTTCAGAAATTTGGAACTAGAGTTCTACATCGAGGACTGCACTGTGGTTCTTAAACCCATCTGCTGTTCAGGCAGGCACTGTGAGAAGAAGCGAGGAACAATCTGTGACACCTAAATTGCCAGTTTTAGAATTACCCTTACCAAGAGTACAAAGAGGCTGATTGTTTTGAGATCAGTTCACTGACTGATGGAATGACTTGTGAGAAGTAGAACAGCTCAAAAAGTATAACTAGTCCTTGTAAAAGTACTTCTGAATTATAATTCTTCAATTTCACAAAGCTGATGCTGAGGGGTAGGAGAAACTTTTGCTTGATATAAGGTAGAGTCATCTGCAGTGGAGTGCAAATGGGATCAAACTAAGAAAAGGAGAAATTAGGCTGAATGTCAGGAAAACCTAACTATGAGAGTTATTTGACTGTGAAAGAGCTTCCCAAGGGTAATAATACAAGCCACATTATTTGGGACACCTAAAATTAGACTTCAGAAAGCACTAAAAATAATGTACCACCTTGCTTTGGAAGGCAGGTGGACTAGAAAAGGCAGGGTTTGGGATTTTCCTGGGTTTTTTTTGCAATAAATTCTGCAATTGTTGGGCCTGATTCTGTTCCGTGATATGGAAATCAAGGGAAGATTTACAATACTTTTTGCCTGAGAAAACTGAGGCTAAACATGCAGGCTTCTCTCCTCCACCTATTGCCAACTTTTTAAACTGTATCTTTTTGGTTTTGTCCTTCAGGGGTAGTTCACACCCCTCTCTTCCAGTTACAAATACATACATTTAGAGGAGAGGAGAAAGGACGTGCGTGCATTAAGGACCATTCATGGCATTTCCCTCTTTTCTGGCTCTTAACAGACACTAGAACTGATCAACAGGGTACTCCTATTTTGGTTTTAATTAATAGAATAGTATCATAGAATCATAGAATAGTTACGGTTGGAAAAGACCTTAAGATCATATAGTTCCAATCCCCTGCCATGGGTAGGCATGACTCACACTAAACCATGTCACCCAAGGCTCTGTCCAACCTGGCCTTGAACATTGCCAGGGATGGAGAATTTACCACTTCTCTGGGCAACCCATTCCAGTGCCTCACCACCATTACAGTGAAAAACTTCTTTATATCTAACCTGAACTTTCCCTGTTTAAGTTTTAACCCATTACCCATTGTCCTATCACTACAGTCCCTAGTGAAAAGTCCCTCCCCAGTATCCTTGTAGGCACCATGTTCTTAAACTATTGTCTGAAATTGTCAGCCATATTTTAACAAGCAGCTTCATGGGTGAGGAGCTGGGTGTGGAGAGAGTGAAAGACAGCCTTTAACCAAGGAATAGAGGCCTCCAAATAACATGTTGATATATTGAAAATGTTGCAGACATCCATAATTTTCTTTAAATACCATGCAAGATAGACGCGGTAATACAAAAGAGGTTCTCAAAGCCAGTCCTACATATTCCAGTGTGTAGATTGTGCAGTTATGACTAAATTTTAATACCCTTTTTGTTATTATTGTAAGTTAGATTGAAGATGCCTACTTTTATCTACATACAGTCCTTCTTTGCTGTCATTGTCTGCTTCTGTGAATGACAGCACTCCTCCTTCCAAAGCTTGAACAAATAGAACCTTTCTGTGGAAAATGGTTCTTCATTGTGTAGGCATAAGATGTGATCACCTTCACACTGTAACAGTAGTTCTATAAAAGACTTATCAATTTGTGTGCACAGGACACCAAGCCTCTGAGTTTGTGATAAGAGAAAGAAAGACACATGTGAAGAGTTTTCTGAAAACTAGTTCATTTGTAGAGGATTTGAAACAGCATGGGAGGAAAGCTATAGTGTGTCTCCAGTATTTCATTCAAGGGCTGTGTACTATAGCCCCCCAAAATACATTCTTCTCCTCTGGAGAAGATTCAGGGGGATTCAGGATAGGGGAGTGGAATACATGGTAAAGTGAACACTACCTCTGCACTGAATTTTGGGTTGCAAATCACACAGTTTCTGTTCTGGAACAGGCTGGAGGCATGGGCACTGGGGCAGGGACGGGTAAGAGAGGCAGCTAGAGAAGTCATTTGGTTGTGTTTCAGACTGTGACTTCTAAATACTAAAAGCTGATTCCCATTTCCTTTCTCCCACTGCTGCTCGCCTCCAGTGTGCTTTACCTCCTGCTGCAGGCATGTGGTCTGCCATAGAAGTGTGGGTTGTATTTTTTTTCGATTTGACTAAGAGCATATTTCCTAATCTAAACCCTTAATGAAGACAAAAGGTCTGTATTGCAGGGTAGGAAGATATTAACCAGAAACATGTTATTAGCAGGGAAGAGTCATTCTCCGTATGTCCATGTTTTTGAATGACTTAATTGAGGAGAAGAGCTCTCTTCTGATAATAGCTTTTTGCATAGGGTGACAACGAGGGTGGAATGGTGGAGATGCTGTGATGCCTGCTTTCTTGAAAAGGTTCATTAAGCCATTATTAAAGTGATTGTAACCAATTCTGTTACAGATCCAGAGCGCTTTGATATGCTAGCCATTTGCATGGCAATCTCTCAAGGGAGAAAACAAGTGTTGCAGAGGCTCTGAGTATTTAATTTTTGATTGATCTTCCATAGAATTTTACAAGATAAAGCAGAGTGGAAAATACTCGGATATTACCTGGATGTTGTTCACGTACACTAAGTAGGAAATGGACAAGGCTGCATATATGTTTTAACTTCATTGCCTCTTCTAATCTGTCCCTAGCAAAACAGCCAAGTATTCCCCTAAAGATTGTAACTTGCCTCATTTCTGTCTTGTCTTCTCTCCTGAAGTTGTCCAGATTTAACTGTCTCATGACTCCTGCTTACACAGGTGTTTCTTAAATTTCTTGACCAAAAGGTTTCAGACAGCTGGAAAAGCATAGAGTGCCTGCAAAAGGAGGGATGAGGTAGTGCCTGGGAATTGTGGCCCATTCAACTTAACAACAGTTTCTAAGAAAACATCAAAATGAGTAACATGTTTCTAAATGCTTGGAGGAGAAAAGAAATGATCATCTAAAGAGATGTATAAAGAGCAAATGTGCCAAATCAATGTAATTTCCTGCTAAGGTAAGGCCTTACAGAAAGGAAAGAAATAGTGGATGTCATATTTTGCTTAATTGTAGGATTTTGACACTGTTTCACATGATATTGTGAAAAGTCTCAGAAGAGAGTCATGACATGGTGAACATAAAACTAAATATAAAAACATATTTGGAGCATTTATCCAAGAATTGTTATCAAAATAAAAGAAGTTATGAAGTGTGGCTTGCAGAGGGCTCACTTTGGAGCTGCCTAGTACTTTCATTTGAAGTTTTACTGATGAAATACAGCAGTTGCATGTTAACTTCACAGACGACCTCAGATTGAGAGGGTATGCAGTCATCCTGGGGGTTGGGTTAGAGATGAAAATCAGTGAGTGATGCACTGTTGTTCTGCAGGAGACATTTTAGGGGGAAAAAAAAGATATGGCTTTTGTTGGGAGATCTGTGTCTTTTTCATCAGTGTATTACAGAAGAATTGTGAAAAGTTAACATTTAAAATGTCAGGAAAGACTCATGCGCCTTGAATTCTTGAAATGTCTGGTACTTGCATGTTGTCATTTGGTAATAGAAGCTTCAATTTGTAGAATTGTTTCTTCAGTTATTATTCTCTTTTCTTTCTTTTTAACATTGGAGCAAGTCCAATGTACCTTACAAAGTTCCTTATTCTGCCCTTAGAACAGCAAACTTCTGGCTTAAAGTCAACAGAGTTTTTGTTCCAGCAGAAATGTCTACATGTGATTTGTTCTCCACGGACTTGCATTTCAGGGCTATGAGGTAGATTAAGGCAAGGTGCAACAGTTAAATCTGGACAGGCTGGCATCTATGCATTTGGTATTCATGGCACTTGTCCAGATCTGTGAGCTTGCTCTTTAGATGAATGTTGTCATCGGGTAACCATAATGAGGCTGTTCGTACTGTAGGGTTGGAAGTAGCGGAGTATGAAATTCTTCAGTCTGCTGAGAGCTAGAAATTTGGCTGATCTGCAGCTTACAGGGTATAAACACATTCTTTTTTTTTTTCCCTCCCATTTTTCCTATTTCTCTTTCTCCTCCCTTCCTTCCCCTCAAGGACATAGACTTTGGCTGTATTTTTGAGAACCGCTTGAAGCTAGAAATCTGAAAGGATGCCTGTGCCGCCGCCGCCACCACCACCACCTCCTCCACCACCTCCACCTCCTTCTGGAGGGCCCCCTCCACCACCACCTCTGGTAAGACTGACTTTTCATCTCTACTAGAAAAAAGCTTAGCTGTAGGAGCCCATTCAGTTCATTTATGACAGAGTATATATTGGGATGCATGCTTAAAATGTTTCTGCTGCTACGGATGCAGGATCAAAAAGTTCAGAGGTGATTGCTTTAGAGTGCACATGGTGAGACTTCAGCATTTATGAGCATTTCTCCAGCCACAGGGAACTCATTTATGTGTTGGTAACATGCAGGTGGTAAATGTTAATTTCTTCATCCTCTTTCTTACAGCTTCTATTAAGACTCACAGTGTTCAGCTGTAGGTGTTGCTTTTACTAGCACATGCTGTCTTCCCAGGGATACAGCACAACATGCTTTTATGCATGTGCAGGAACAATTACTGCTTGTAACAGATCATTACTTTGTTGTGTTATGAAGTAGAACATGTGCCCTGCCAATGTTTGCTTTAAGTGGAGGATGCTCTGAGTGGAGTTTCAGGGTATTACATTTTCCTACAATCACAACTATTGTACCCATGGTAAAACATGCTTAAGTAATTCTTTGTATTCTGCTCTCATTTGTTCATAGCCTGTATCTGCATTGAAATTCTTAGAACATTTTTGAAATAGTGAAGCCTGGCATGGTTGTGTTTAAGATATCAAATCTCTCCTGGCTTCTTTCTTTTCATACATTTTTCTGTCACTGCTGTACTACCTATGGTAAACATTAGTCCCTGTAGCAAAGTATGTAGTACTTCAAATGTACTTCAGTGTTGGGGTATTTTTAAAGAAACTTATTTCTCCCTTCCATTCTCTGGAGTTTTTGCCTGTTCTGTTCCCATGAAGATCTGTTGATTTTGTTTGATACTGCTTTTATGTTATCTTCTTCCAGAAGGAGGTTTCCTTGCCTGTTCCTTTCTGCTGCTTTGCAGCAGAACCATTTTGTGAAACTCTCCATGAATTGTAGAGATGAAGAGGAGGAAGATAAAGACAGCACATGAAATAAGCAGTGCTTGACTCCTTTTACCATTCTGGTTTGAATTTGGGCACCATGAGCGGAGATAGCAGCTCTTCTGGATTGGTACACAGCCTATAGTTAGATACTGAAATATGTGGGCTGAATTTTGTGAGCAACTTAATGCCCAGCAATTAATGTCAACAGGAGCTGCAAGTGTTCTTATCCAAATAAATTTAGCTCAGTAAAATATCTAGAAACATTTTTAGACTCCTCTAACATATGGTAGTTGTAAATGACTTGGGAAAGTTAAGAGGATACCTAGGAACCAGTATGACCAAGTTTGGGATTTTTTTGTTTCCCTTTCTTTTCTAATGACTAAAACCACTACTGTGATAAAGTTTTGATACAAGAAGGCTTATACTATATTTCTGTGGTTTAGTTAGATCAGTCTATTTCAGATGTGATCTTCTATGCATAAGACATGCGGAATTTAGGGAGTTTTATCTTGGTGATATGGTGCAAACTAGACATATTTCTAATGTCTTATTTAAGCCCTCCTCTTTGTAAGTGTTGACACCAGAAAGAACGCATGAACTAATAATAAAGGATTAGTAAAATAACATGGCAGAATGTTATTTTTTTCTGCAATAGCGTAAGGCCTTTTCCCTGTCAAAACTGAATGAGAGAGGGCTGACTGATAGGATCTGCAGTCTGTTTGGTGTGTTCAGCAGAAGCACAGTGTAAGTCAGCTCTCCAGCTGGTGCCAAGTTGCAGAGTAAAATCTTATAATTGAGGAGATAATGAAAAATTGCTCCAGACCCTATTTTCTTTTACTAAGAAACTATTTCCTAGGTGTGGGCATCTGTCTTTTGCAGCTGCTAAACTGCCCAGCTGTTGTTACGCTTCCTGCATCTACAGTTGGAGGACAGAAGAAGAAAAAAATTCTAACAGGCACGTAGCTTTAAGGAACACCTGCAAAACAAATAAGTTTTATTTGGTCAACACCTGGAAATGTTCCAAAGTAAAAGCACTGTGATTAAATCAGAGCATTGTTTACATATTAGCAGTTAAAAGTTAGGTTTTAATTTCACTGTTGATATGCGGGCAAGCCACTGGTTTAACTTACTTCATTTATGTTAAAGAGAAAAACATCTGTGAGTAGGCTGAGGTTTTAGAATCCTGTCATTTTCACTGACGCCATTCCATGGGTACCATAGACTTGTCTTGCTTTTCTAATTATATGGATAACAGAATCATAGAACGGTTTGGGTTGGAAGGGACCTTAAAGACCATCTGATTCCAACCCCTCTGCCATGGTCAGGGACACCTTCCACTAGATCAGGTTGCTCAAAGCCCCATCCAACCTGGCCTTGATATTTTCCTCTTGATTTCACTATTACGAGATTTTTAGCAGTGGCAGTCACTACATTATGTCTTTTTCTAAGTATTTTCTTAGTGAATATTGTGAGTCATGGTCCCCAAGGATACTGCAGTCCTTACTTCATTGAAATACTAAGCACTGTTGGCACTTGACTTTTTTGTACTGTTAACTCCCTCTTACAGCAAAAGAAAGTTAGGTTCTTCCCTACTGTTTTCAAAGATCTTGGATATGCAGATATGGTGTAAGTACTCATACTGAATTCTGGTCACAAAAGTTGTCACAAGGCAATATTAAAGTGATTTGGAGATGGTATTTAAGACATGCTAGGAGCCACCTGTGCCAAGCAGCTGAAAAGCTATTGGCTGTTAGAGTGTACTTAAAAGGAAACAAAATGGATTTTTCAGGAGGGAATGGTAGGGTATCAGCAGTAGCAGATGTAGGTGGCTGAGTCAAATGTAAATATCGCTGATTGGATTAATTGAGCATGTCTTCAAATGCCTGCCTTCTGGGGGTCATAGATAAAGATGAGAGGGATGAGTAGACAGAATAAAACTGTGCCCCAGTGTATTTTCTGGCACTGGCTTATAGAATTCAGATCTTCTCTCTTTCCCCTCCACCCCAAGAAAGAAATCTTAGAAAGGAGGCATTAGGATGTTTGCTCTAAACCTCTTCCAATTTCATAGGCATAAGTACATCACATAAGGAAGGGGTTTTGTAATAGGCTTTTGTATTTTTTTTTTGGGGGGGGGAGGGGGAACATTATGTTTTTATGGTTTGAGGTTTTTTTTAAAAGCTTTCTGCTCCTGAAAAGTGTTGTTTTTTTTATTCACCTTTTGTTTCTTTTACCTCTTTTGCCTTTTAGTTTGGCATATCATAGAATCATTATGGTTGGAAGGGACATCTGGAGATCATCTAGTCCAACCCCCCCTGCCAAGGCAGGGTCACCTAGAGCAGGTTACACAGGAATGTGTCCAGACGGGTTTTGAATGTCTCCAGAGAGGGAGACTCACAACCTCTCTGTGCAGCCTGTTCCAGTGCTCTGCCACCCTCAGTGTAAGAAGTTCTTCCTCATGTTGAGGTGAAACTTCCTGTGTTTTAGTTTATGGCCACTGCTCCTTGTCCTGTCCTGAGCACCACTGAAAGAGTCTGGTACCATCCTCCTGGCACCCACCTTTGGGATATTTATATGCATTAATGAGATCCCCTCTCAGTCTCCTCTCGACTATATGGGACCAGCTCCTACAATCTCCCCTCATAAGAGAGATGCTCCAGACCCCTGATCATCCCTGTGGCCTCCACTGGACCCTCTCCAGAAGCTGCTTGTCTTTCTTGTACTGAGGAACCCAGAACTGGACACAGTACTCCAGTTGTGGCCTCACCAGGGTTGAGTGGAGGGGGAGGCCACAAGAGCACACTGCCATAGTCAGTTTATCCACCAGTATTCTCAGATCCTTCTCAGCTGAACTGCTGGAAGGCATTCTGGTTAACTTTGGTTTGTCGTGTTTCCTGGAGTAGATACAACCACTGAGACTGACTAAAAGTCTTCTTTACCTAATCTCCCAAGGGAAGATTGAGAGAGAATTTTGCTTTGATAAACCACATTCACTTTCTACATGCAGTGGTGGCTTGCTCACTGCTGTGCAGCCTTTGTACATTCGAATTCCTATTGTTACAATCAGTCATCACCTATTAAAATGTTAATATTGAAGGAAGCGTGGATGTGTAGCAGCCCTGCTGGGTAATGCCTTATTCAGAGAAGATGCTTGTTTAATGATTCATATGTTTGTGGAGTTTAAGAAAATACTTCTGCTCTCTTTAGAATTGTTATTATTAAAGTCTTAACATAGACATTAACCCCAAAAGTTGCAAGGATTGGGTGATTAAAGCCAGTAAAGTAGCACCAGGATTTTATTTGCCTTGTTGGCATACTGAAAACTGGGAGAGCAGCAGAAGGAAACAATATGGTTACTTTAGTGAAAGAAGTGTGAAACTTGAAACAATACTGAATGCTGGATGGCACGTGCGTGAATCTTAACGATTATCTCACTCTTACATAGTCCAAAAAAAAAAAAGGAAAAAAGAAAAGAAATAGGATAAACATATGTCAGGGTTTACCACGTTATCCTGACCTTATTTTCTACCCCTGTAGTAAAAAACTCAGAAAAGCAATTCCTCATGGTATAACACTACAATAAATGTACAATTTACAGAGGTGGATTTCCAAGGTTAAGAAAAACATCAACTGGTAGTTTTCCTTAGGGGAATGCTCTCTTCTCCTCCTCCACAGTTGTCAGAGTGTAAACCTTGTTAAGCTGTTTCCTTCAGCCTTCCAAACAAATTCAGAGCTGCAGTACTTATCTGAAGTTTGTGGGAGCTGGGCTTGCTCCCATGACATTTAGCACTACTGTTCTTTGGAAGAAGAAAAAAACAACATATACAAAACAGCTTGGCTGAAGGTAATGATGATATATGGTGTTTTGATTTGGTCTTACACAATATAAGAGAATGTGTGCTTATAAGTGTGTATGCATAATGTGTGTGCATGCTTGCTAGTCATTTATTGTAAAAATTAAGGTAATTCTGCAGTTTTCATTCAGACCCTTAGATGTGCAAGCACAACACTGGGAGAACAGAATCATGAATAGTGCCAACTACAAAAGATGAAGGAATGTGTTTATTAAAATTT